TAATAATTAGTCTTCCTTCCTTTAAGAGAAGGAAGACTCTTTAAAAAAGAAATCACTATGGTAGAATAATCATGATTCTATTTCACAAATTTGTTAATGTAAAAGTGACAATATAACATAATTGTTTTCACCTTGGCAGAGGTTGTATCAGGTCTTCTCTGGGGTGAGCTACTCTGTCTTAGGGAATTCCTGACAGAAATGGATGGATACTTGTTGAACTTCTCATTGCCTGCTAAGTTAACCCTTACGAAACTCTGAGAGTGGTTATTATTATCTCCATATCACAAATGAAAAACATGACAGAACTAAACTAAACACAAAACACAGGCCTAGCGAGGTAACATTTCTCAAAGTTTGCATCCTCAACTAATAAATGGAAAAGCCAGAACTGATTTCAGATCTAATTGCAAAACCCATATTTTGCTGGTACTTCCTCCAGGAAAGCAAAGAAACAAAATCTTTTCTAGATAAGGTAAATATGCATTTGACTGATATTTGAGACTATACTTCCATTTGTCAAATGCCTTGAACATCAACGGGGAAGAGAAATTTACATGGGCTTTTGATCAGTGAACCATGATGAGAGATGTAGAAATGCCTTCATTTTGATTCTTGAAAGAACTGGCATCTGGATCTACAACTTATCTGGTCTGGGAAGGAAGAAAGCAAGGGGTAACCAAATGAGTCATGATAAAAACAGCATCAATATTCTGTAATGCAGGGTAGTGTTATGTCTGGAAACAATATATTTTACCAGAAATTTGCCAAAAATTATTTTTGTTGGTTCATTCATTTACTCACACATTTATTGATCCATTGCTTTTTTTTTTAAGATTTTAATTTATTTGCGTGAGAGACCGCAAGCAATAGCGGGGGATGGGCGTGAGGGGAGGGCAGGGGGAGACAGAGAAGCAGACTCCCCGCTGAGCAGGGAGCAGGGGCTTTATCCCGGGACTCTGAGATCATTACCTGAGCTGAAGGCAGACGTTTAACTGACTGAGCCACCCAGGTGCCCCTCATCCATCATTCCTGTAATGGAAGAGCTCATAGTAATATATTTGTATAATATTACATATTATTGATTTTGAAGTACCTTTTCTTATAAAAAAATTGAGCCAGGTAAGGTAAGCAGAATAAACTGTATTGGTAAACCATCTTGCCTGCGCCCACCCCAGCTGGAGGTTCTCCATGCACCTGGTATCTGATGAGGTATGCAGCATGTGGCGCGAGTAGGAGGGGAACCTGGGCAACGCTTTGGTGGCCAGAGTCAGACAGGGGCTGCTGTTGGTGGTGATGCTCCTACCCATGCAGATTTATTCAAATCAAGTAACTGTTGTAATGCTTTCGAGTAATTCCTCCCAGAATACCTCAGCTGCCCCAAATCTAGCTAATTCCACCACCAAGCCAAGTGGTGATGCTCTGCAGTCAACAGCTAGTCTCTTCATGATCTCATTCTCTGTTCTGTATCTCTACTCTTATGAAACTCAAGCCAAGAAACATCTGTACAGTAGTCCTCCCTTATCAGCAGTTTCGCTTTCAGAGGTTTTAGTTACCCGTGGTCACCCATGGTCCAGAAGCAGATGAAGCTCATGACCAATCATCAGAAGGTCAATAGTTAGCTTAATGCTACCTCACAACGTCTGCATCATTCACCTCCATCTTATCACATAGGCGTTTTAACATCTCACATCATCGCAAGAAGGTTGAGTACAGGACAATATTTTGAGAGACAAAGAGAGACCACATTCACTTACCTTTTATTACAGAATATTGTTATAATTGTTCTATTTTATTATGGTTGTTAACTTCTTACTGTGCCTAATTTATACAATTAAACCCTATCGTATGTCTGTATAAGGAAAAGCATATATAGGGTTCAGTGTTATCTTGGTTTCAGGCAACCACTGAGGGTCTTGGAACACATCACCATGGATAAGGAGGGGGGGTCTCCTGTACTTCCCCATTTTCTAAATCCAATCCTGATGGTGTATAGATATCCATTGTGACAAGGAAGAAACAGGTCTTCATTGAATCTGTTAATTCCATACCTTATTTTATTGACACAGAAAACGTTGAGGAGCCTAAAATTAAATGGTTTGGAGAGCATGTGAAGGGTTTGACTAGATAATGAATCCCAATATTAAATCTGCTGGAGTTTCAAGTACAAGATGAAGGGAAACAACATCCAAAATTAGTGAAGAGATGAATTTTCTTAAATGTGGTTTAAGAAGTACAGGACACATAAAACCCTACCTTAAAAATGATAATAGATTTTATCTCATCTAGAGACAAAGGGTGAGATATGGAAAAGAGATTCAGTTTTCACTTGGTTCATTAATGCCATAAGATAGGTAATACAAAAAGCTAAGATTCTATATGTACATTAGAAGTTACTTCCAGGTGTTACTGTAATTCCTTAATGTTTCAGCTGTCCTAATCTAAGGCCAATGTGCTCTAGATATTGTTAACTATCACTGTTTCTTGAGACGTGAACTCTTTCTTTTGAGGCTTTGGATTTGACTCACATTTGACTTTTTATATAGTAATTGACATGTACCGGGGCAGTGATGGACTGAGTCTACCCCAAATCGAAGCATAATGAGTAAATTTTGCTTATATACTTATCACCTATTCCTATTCAACAGAAGTGCCAGATTCATTTAGTTAAAATGATTCCAAAAAGTGCATTGACCTCAACTAATTTCAGAATGCTTTTTATTTCTGCATATGTTGAATACTTTTTACAATTTAAAAAATCTGTTTTGAAGGTAAAGTTGACACATCTTGAAATTAAAAAGGCAAATATGTGAATTAAACTCTAAATCAAGTATGGGAAGTGAAGAGTGGAAACTTAAATTCAGAATTTTTGAACTCTTTCTGTAAATACTTTTTGAAGAAACTCTATGAATCAGAATAGCCTCATTTGGAATGCTTTCTGTTATCAGTCAATATTTTTAGATAGTTAAAACCTGGTCCTAAGCCTAAAGTGTGCTGAATTCTGGAAAGTAAATCTTTCACAGCTGCCTTGAGGCACAGAAACCTTTTTAAAAATAGATACTCCTTAAAATCTTTTGTTCACATGGTCACACACTGATGCTTACATGTTCCACTATCTAATATCCCCACAGTAGTCTTGATAACTAAGGTCATTTTTTTTTTATCTTTAGAAATCTACCCTGGAACAACCATATCCAACAGATCTCAAGCTACTGAGTGTGTGATTGAACCTTACATTTTGTTTCATATGTGAATGTTGTGCACCTATTTTGGATTATATATTGTATTTGTGTATTTATGCCTTTATTCATAGAAACTTCTCAGGCTATGGAATTGATTTGTATTGAACACAAACTGTAAATAAAAATAAATGGCTAGAAAAATATAGGTACTGTAATTACCTTTTAGCAGATGAACCTGCAGGCTTTGAGACATTAATTTCCTCAAAGTCACAACAAATACGAAGTGTCCTAGACACAGTTTAATTTCTTACTTCAAATGGAAGGCTCTTTGTATGATTTCAACCTAGTTAATAATCAAGATATGCAACAACTGGGAATAGTATAGACATAATTGTTTGTTTATACCAAAAACTTTAAAGATACATGGTTTTACGTTTTACTCTTTCCCATCCTCCAGAGCTTTCACAGTAATCCCTATTTACTTAACTGCCTTTTGCTATTTTCTTCATTGCTTTAACCCTTTATGCTTTTCAGCTTTTATCATGAGATTGCTCTCATTTTTTCCCACTATAATTTTGTCTAAATGCAATAGTCGATCTTCAAACAGTAATTTGATTGAGCCAAACCTGATCTTGACATCTTAAAGAGTTTAAGTTGGATGTTCATATGCGGAAAAACATTTTCTATTCCTTAATTTTCTACCATACGATCAATAGGCATATAAAATGAATCCTGAGTGACAGGTAATAAACTGCCTGGAGATGGGTAATATTGAATAAAAAATGTAAAAATTTTAATGCAAGGAGGCAGCATCCAATTTATTTACGAAAGAATTCCTAACAGGAACATGTTGTGAACATTAAAAAAAAAGTGACACATGAGATTTTGAAACTTACATCTTCATTTATCATTACCAATTCTAGCCAGAGAAAATATGCCTCTAGCCATTTCAAAAGGAGGTTTAATTAAAAATCAGTCATGGACATTATTGAACATAAATAGGAAATTTCAGAAAATAGCTCTTTCCTGACTAAAAATTGCTTAAGTATTGTGGAATTTTTTGTTAGAAAATATTAAATTTAATTTAAATTTTTTTCAAAAGATTAGAAAATATTAAATTTAATTTAAATATAAATCCTAAAACATCTTCAGTGTGAGCTAAATACAAAGCCCTTTTCATTTTTTACTTAACACAAATTTTGTTCAAAGAAAGTTTAGATTTTTTGTTGGTTTCAAAGAAAGTTTAGATTATGTACAGAGAAATGAAATTCTGATTTAATAAAACATGTACATTCCTTCAACTGATTGCTTAATTTCTAATAAATATTATAAATATGAAATTCATGTATGGGAACCATACAAATTTAAAATAGAAATTATATCATTAAGGGGCACCTGAGTGGTGCAGTTGGTTAAGTGTGTGCCTCTTGGTTTCGGCTTAGGTCGTGATCTCGGGGTCATGAGATCAAGCCCTATGGTGGGCTCTGTGCTGCTTGGGATTCTCTCTCCCTCTCCCCCTCCCACTTGTGCTCTCTCTCTCTCAAATAAATAAATAAATCTTTAAAAAGAAAGGAAATTATATTATTAAATTTTTGAAATTTAAAAACTGGTTTGTTCATGCTTAATTTTTTATTTCATTAATAACAATTTTAAAAATCTGGGAATCTGCTTTTTTCTTATAAAGGTTATTTTTATTTAATAAGAAGAATGCAACATTAGTCAAAGAAAATGAACATACATTTGTCTTTTATTTAAAAATATATCATATTCCCTCTCATTTAATTCTATTTCAATTGATTCCTTTTTCTTTTCTTTCAACAGGCTGAGTTAAATGACCCAACTGATCCCTTCACTAATTATAGTACAAAAGTCTCATCAAATGTAGGGGATGAAACTTTCTCTAAATATATAGGATGGAGAATTGCCAATGCTCTTTCCAAACTGTTCTTCCCCTCCACTGAAGCCCATGTTCTTCCTTTGAAAGAACCATTGAAAAAACAGGATCCAGTGAAATATCTGAACAAAAAGGATTACATGAAGAAAAGAGTTCTACATGTTACTATAAGGTAAAGTGAAGCACTATTCAAAATAGTCCTGTTATTCTAATACACTGCATTTCAAAGTCATATAAATTATATGTAATCATGTGCCACATTATTTGACTCATTTTCTCTTTTTCAATTCAAATTTTGGCTCCAACAACTTCTAGGTATTCTATCATAAGCAAGTACTCTCAGCAACTATTTCCTCATGTTTAAAATAGATAATATTATATAATATAAATTAGTGTTTTAATATGGTGAAAGCCCCCCTCCCACTACTGACCTTCATTTGCCTAGTCTACCCCCCATCTCTCCCTATCATTAATTGCTTGTGTATCCTTCCAGGATCTATAAAATGTAAACAAAATAAATTATAAGTATATTTTAAATTGTCTCTCCATTTTTACATTAAAGTTAGCATACTAATATATCATTTGGCATCTAACTTTTTTTTTATTTAACTTCATTTCTTAGATATTTTTTTCATGCCAGTACATAGAGAATTTTCTCATTATTATTATATTTTTAATATGTTACGATGGTTTCCTTAGTATGAATGTACCACCGTTTATTTAATCAGTTTCCTATTGTTTGGCATCTGGGTTGTTTTAGATTGCCTGCTACTATATACTACCACAAAATTTAACCTTCCACGTAGGTCTTTTTATACATGAGGAAGAATGCCTACAGGATAAATTCTCGGAAGTGTGATTTCTGAGTCAGAGTGTTTTTGCCTTTGTAATTTTGGTAGATATTTCCAAATTAGCTTTCAGAGGAATTGTGCAAATTTATATCTCCACCAGCAATATCTGAGAGTACTTGTTTCTCTTTATTCTTTCCAATAGAGAGTGTTGACAAACTTTTGGGTTTTGATAATCTGAAAAGTGAAACATGTTTTTAAGTATAGTTTTCTTAAGGTGAGTGGTTAGAATAACTTTCATATGTTAAGAGCCTTTTGTTTTTCCTTTATATGGGAATTAACTATTTCTTTTGCCCATTTTTTCCATTGAGTTTATATCGTTTTCACTTAGCTTTGCAAGAACTATTTACCTATTAATTGATGTGTCCCTTTTTCTATGGTAAGAGCTACAAATGTTTATATTCCCTTCCACTTTTTATTTATCTTTAAATTTTTCTTATAGTATTTTTTTGCCTTAGTCATTTTTCTAAGTAATATAATTTATCAATTTTTCACTACATATCTATTTAGGAAAACTCTTTTCATTTTATGATTAAAATGTTGTCATATTGTTTTCTGGTACTTTTAAAGATTTATTTTGAATGTTTTAGTCATTGGTCCATTTGAAATGTGTGTGTGTGTGTGTATGTGTGTGTGTGTAGTGTGAGTTGTCAATCCAGATGGCTACTCAGTTGTCCCAACAATATTTATTGAGTTGCCTATCTCCTTTCAACATTTATTCTGATTTAAAATGTTATTTATTAAATACTAAGTTCTTATTTATTTTCTATGTTTTAAAAGAATTTCAGTAATTTGCAATTACCTACTCTTTTAAGGTTTGATAGAATTCCCTTTTAAACCATCAGTACCTTATGCCTCTCCTAAGGGTAGCTCTTTGTCAAATTTATCTATTTTTGTATGGCTATTGGCAAGGCTATTCAGCCAGAATGTACAGGTACAATAAATTCAGTTCTTACAGTTTGAGGTCCATGCCATAAAAGTATCTGGAGTATCCATCCTGAATATCAGTCTCTTTTCATCTTTCTCTTTCTTCTTTAGTCAGTTTTAGCAGATTATGCTTCCTTTGAATACTACTTATTTTATCCCCTTTTCAGAGTTTATTTGGTCACAGTTGATTCTTCTGATTCTGTGGTTATTTTCTTCCTCAACCAATTCTCATTTTGTGTATTTGAATTTTGTCCCTTTTATTCTTCTTAATTAATTTAATGTTTTATTCATTTTATATTATTTTTCTACTGAACCAGCTTTTAGATTATAACTCAGCATTGTCTAAATCATTATTTGTGTTCCAAAATTATAAAACTGTTGTTGCCCAAAGGCAGACGCTATTGGTGGTATAATAATTGTGTGGAATGAGGCCAGTAGGTAGGCTTGGCTTTTGTGTACACAAAAAGTCCACAGAAAAATAGACAAATGCTTGAGCAGCATTCTGACATAGTTTTGAGCATTTTTTCAAGAATTCTAAAGTCAGTGAGGAAGATATGTACATTTGAATTGAAGGATCACACAGCCTGGACTTTAGTAGTCTTGTTGGAAGAAATAAATATTATAAAAATATTCTTCAGCATGTATTATAAATATTTGTAAGGTTGCAATATATCAAAGTATAATGAAAATGCTGGCTTTAAATATCAAGGGTATTGAGATTTACTGTAGAATCCCCAGATGTATTCTGTATATTCTCAAGGACAAAAAACATGGAAGAAAATCAATCTGGGACCACAGAGAGAACACTGGACAAGTGTACTTTGGCTTCTCATTATGTTCAGTTGAAGGAAAAGACAGAAAACTAGAAAAACAGAAGAAACTTGATATTGACAAGAGGAGATGAAGGAAATAGAAGGGGAAAGGGTCAATAGACAGTAAAAAGGTCAGATGGAGATGAATGGTGCTTGCTGGGACACAGAAAGGAAAAGCAGAGACAGAGAAGAGGAGACATATTGGCAGTGCTTAGAATAGCAGAACAGGGGGGCGCCTGGGTGGCTCAGTTGGTCTGACTCTTGGTTTCGGCTCAGGTCATGATCTCCTGGCTGTGGGACTGAGCCCCCTGTCCAGCTCTGTGCTCAGTGTGGAGTCTGCTTCAGATTCTCTCTCCCTCTGCCTCCTGCTTGCTCGCTTGCTCTCTCCCAAATAAATGAATAAGTAAAATCTTCTAAAAAATAGCAGAACAGAGAAATAAATGTTACTAGCAGAAGGAAAGAAGAAAGAGACATACTGTGAAGACATATACTAATGAAAGGTACAAATGGAGGGATGTGGGCTAGGGTTGGGGATAGGGGAAGAGAATATGCAAAGTCAGAGGGAAATGAGACAAAAGAGTAGTGGGGTGGGGTTATGACTCAGAGAGTCCTATAGGTTTTGAAGGATTAGTAAATTAAATTTCTCATCAGAGTCTACAGTTCATTACGTAAATGACAATCTTTCATCATTAATCTTTGAAAAAATGTGATCTCCTTATCCATTTTTCACAGCTCATTACAGGCTCTAGCAATTTAACTAGTGTCTCTGTCCTGACCAAGAGAGCCCCAGCAGCCTCAGCATCCCTCTGGCAGGAGGACCTCATGTGGCACAGCTCAGGGGAGCAGCTTTCACATTGCACCATTCACACTGTAGTGTGTGTGAACGGTGCCCCCTGGAGTTGTGCATATTGCCCGCTTCCTTTAGGGATAGACTCATCTCTGGGGACAGCAGAAGTGAGTGGAGTAGGGTTACAGCTCAGCAGCCTGAAGACATATCAGGCCTGGCTGAACAGTCTCTACCGTCCAGGAGGGTTATGTGAATGAAATCCCTGCTTTTTAAGAAGCAAACTTCAGTTTAAGCTCTGCATTGATGAAATGTCTCTGGCTTACTAACCATGAAGTGTGGGAAATATTATTTCTTCCATTTGCTTGATTCTACATCTATTCAGTAGTCTCACAGCTAGCTCCTTCTGTTGCTTCTCCACCTCCTCCCACTTCCAGGTCCACAAACTGGAATTAGCGCAGTTAATGAACATCTGAGCATGTTGAAGTTTTGTAGCTAAAGCACAAAGACATAATTCAAGCCCGCTGGGTGCTCCACTCTTTTTCACATCTTAAAGGTCTTTGGGTGCAGGGTCATATCACCAGTTCTTCATCAGGTATTCCTAGAAATGTCCATTTTGTGCTTTCCACCAGTAGCAATGTGAAAGACAGCAAGAAGGCCAACATTTAAGGACACCTACAGAAGTTGGGTAGGAGGACAGGAAATTGAAGAGAATATGCTTTTTAATTAACTTGGAGCACTAAAGCATACTTACTTCAGTGTGAAAATCTGAAAATTTACTATTACAAGGAGAAAATGGGAGCTTCCTTACTGATGAAGCATCTACTACATCTCATGACCTATAATTTTTTCCAAAAATATTTTTCTTCACTTGTGCTTTTAGCCTATAAAATTCTTTGAAAGCAGGAATTCTGTCTTTTGTATGTTTATAAACATTACATACATATATAAACACCTATATATGTTTATAAACATATATTTACTCTGAATGATTTGATTTGCAGATTTGACTTTTATGAAAATTTTCAAAATAAAATTTATTATTTTGCTTCTGTATATTGTTTTTATTTTTATTTTTTAGTTTTTAGTTTTGCCTTAAGTTAGTGGGACATGCTGTTGGATGCATGCTCTTTTTGCCCCTTAGCATTTTTTTAAAAATAAAAAAATCATTATGGTTCTTTACTGTATCATAAAACTGCAGCCAAAAAACTAGGCATATAATACTTCTACTCCAAAGCATAGTATTTTCCTTTTCTCTCTTTGTGTGTAAAAATATCACAAATTTCCCTTAAGGCTGAGAATTGAGAACTCTGAAGACCAAATTTTCAAAAACCAGTTCCCACATCTGTTTTATTTCTGAAGTTTCTAAGTGCATTTTCTAACCTTATGCCTTGAATCCCTATAAACTTACAAACAACTAATTTTTTGCACATATGTGAAGACTTGGAAAATTCTAACTTAAAACTTTATCTATGACTGTGCTTAGTTTGCTCACAAGTTTTATGTTAGAAGACTTCACGAGACCAGCACACGGAAGAGATATGAGGTGAAACTAGCAAGAATGGGCTGAGAATATCTGTTGTCACTTATGCAGGAAATTTTACATGGCTGACTTCATAAACAGTCATATCCAAGGCTACTGCATCTTCTCTGAAGCTTCCTTTATAAGTGGAGCAAACTCCAAAATAATAGAACGAGGAGTAGCTAACATTTACTGAATGGCAACAAGGTAGGGAAAGGTAAATATCACAATGTCCAGTAAGAACAGGCTTTATTGGAAAGATCAGTGGTCAGTAGTGAG